ATCTCCGACATCTTGGTTATATCTGCATCCATTTGTAAATCTGTGGCATAAGTCATAGTCTCTGAGTCTTTCCTATCTTGGGGGTTCTTCCTCCTAGTCATTCTGTTGATGGGTGTTTGAGGGAATGTATAGAGTCCAAATTATTGACCACAACCCAAGCAAGAAGCATCTGTTTTGTAGGGACCTTAGGGTTGCTGGCCTCTTGTTTTCCCAGCCTGTCTTCTGGGAAAGGGGCCTGCCACACTGTTACTCAGGCAACCCTGTTTGGGCAGAGTTTCCCTGCCCCTGCTGTGGCGAGGGATGGGCTCAGTGGGAACCAGTGTTTTGGGGCTTTTGTTCTCTGGCGGTTTTCTCTGGACGCTTTCCACGTCTCTTCCGAGAGTCAGAGCAGAAGAGACCGTTTCCAACCCTCTGCCTCAGAGCAGAGAGATCGCAGTCTGTTCTTCAGTGAGCTCTCCAGGCTACACTATCTCCATTTCTGTCTGTGCTGCTATAAACTGCAGTGCCCTCGGTGGTGCACCCCTCTGCAGCGCTCCCAGTCCTGCCTCCAGTTCTGGGCACATCTCTGCACTTTGTGCTTCTAAAACCGCCAGCCACTCCCAGTTTGCAGGCACAACCCTGCCGCTCCGGTTTCCATTGGGGAAGCTGCCCTAAACTCCTTTCCCCACCGTTACCAGTCTGCGAGTCTGTGCCCCGTCCCTAGCATGTGAGGCTGTCACTCACCCGTGGTGTAGGATCCCCATGGCCAGAGTCTGCATAGTATGTGCTACTTCCATCATAGCTAATCCATGCAATCCCCCTGCTGCCGTTTATCCTCCGATATCTGCCCGTGGAATCATAGCTCCCTGCTTTGTACCTCAAAACCAACCGCTTGCGATATTCTGTTTGTAGAGGTCCAGATCTATCTTCTTACTTCTCAGGCTGATTTCATGGGTGCTCAGATTGGTGTAGTAGATATCCAGCCTAATTCCGGGGACCAGTTTTGAATAGGGTCCCCTATTCCTCTGAAACTTTTCCCCTCCCCAAAACAAGGACTTTGAATGACATACTGGACCAGATTGATTTCTTTTCTTCTTTTTTTTAGTTTTTAAAATTTTTTATTTACATTCAATTCAGTTTACACATAGTATATTATTAGTTTCAGAGGTAGAATATAGTGATTCATCCATTGCATATAATACCCAGTGCTCATCACATCATGTGTCCTCCTTAATGCCCATCCCCCAGTTACCCCATCCCTCCTTCCTCCCCTCCTGCCACCCCCAGTTTGAACACACATTTTTGAGTATAATTGCAGGATTTGGATGGGCGACTGTTCCAACTAGAATTCTAGTTTTATTTTTTTTTCTCACAACATTATCTTCTTCAATTCCCTTTTTTTTTATTGTGTTCAGTTAGCCACCATATAGTACATCCTTAGTTTTTGATGTAGTGTTCAATGATTCATTAGTTGTGTATATCACCCAGTGCTCACCACAACACATACCCTACTTAATACATGTCACCAAGCTACCTCATTTCTCCAAACCCTCCCCTCTGAAACCCTGTTTGTTTCCTGGAGAAACAGATTGATTTTTGATATTATTTATTTGGGTCCCTTCTATTTTCTTTTTGATAAATCTAGGCAGCGGTCTCTCAATTTTATTGTTTTTTTTTTTTTTCCAAAGAACCAGACCTTGGTTTTTTTAATATGTCCTATTGTGTTTAGTTTTTATATCATTTATTTCTGCTGTAATCTTTATTATTTCCTTCCTTCCATTGTATTAGGCTTCACTTGTACTTTCTCCAGCTCCTTCAGGTGTAAGTTTAGGTTGTTTATTTCAGATTTTTCTTGCTTCTTGAGGTCTTCCTGTATGCTGTATATTTCTGTCTTAGGACCACCTTTGCTGCAGAGAAATTAGGTGAAGGTGATAAAATTTATACTTCTGTGTGTGTGCATGTGTGTGTGTGTGTGTGTGTGTGTGTGATCTTCAGATGCCACATCCACACCACACCTGGAAGGGGTTCCACTGCTTTCTCATGCTGTCACTAACATTAATTCTGTGAGGATGGTTTAAGACAGTAATCCTCACAAAGACCCTTTCTTCTCTTGCTTTGGATTGTTGATGCCACCGTAGCCTCATGTCCAGCATGTGCTTTATGCCACTTCTAGCAAATTTGCACATTGAGCTGGGTGGTCTTATGATGCAGATGAGTGCAGCTGGGATTTCTGTAGAAGTTCAGTTGATGAGCATCAGGATATTTGTATTTCATTGGTATTTAGGGATTGGAATAAACAGTGTGAATGATTCTGTATTCTGTGCAGTTTAGTATAATTATTTTCACATTAGAACAAATTTTCTGAGAGTGAAGAGGTAAGCCCAGAATCATGTGTGCGGAGAGGCTCCCTAAGGGAAACTCCTCTATGGAGAGGAATCCCCAGACCTTGACAGGAAACCTACCCATAACCTCCATTTGCACCTGCTCATGGGGCTTAAAGACAGAATTGCTGTGCACCCCCTGGTGGTTCTGATCCCCTTGTACATTGAGGTTTGTGTCTGGGCTCACACTGACTTCCCCTCACTGTGTCTGTTGCACAGTAATACACGGCCGTGTCCTCGGCTCTCAGGCTGTTCATCTGCAGATACAGCGTGTTCTTGCCATTGTCTCTGGAGATGGTGAATCGGCCCTTCACAGAGTCTGTGTAGCTTGTGCTACTTGCATCATAGCTAATCCATGCGACCCACTGCAGCCCCTTGCCTGGAGCCTGGTGGACCCAGCTCATGTAGTAGCTACTGAAGGTGAATCCAGAGGCTGCACAGGAGAGTCTCAGGGACCCCCCAGGTTTCACCAGGTCTCCCCCAGTCTCCACCAGCTGCACCTCAGACTGGACACCTGCAGACAAAAGACATCCTGGTCAGGAAACTGTCACACAACCACTCTTCCTCTCACTCACATACACTCGTACAGTCAATGTCTCTTGTTCACCATAAATTACCTTTTAAAAGAGCAACAAGGAAAACCCAGCCAAGCAAGAACTCCATAGTGAGTTGTCTGTGTTCTCTTCTGATAAGGGAATTGGAACACCTGGGAATCCTGGAGCTGAGCCTCCTCTCCCAGCTGCAGAGTCAGGGTTTGACTGTTTTAATCAGCAGAGGGAGGCCCTATTTGCATGTCCTATGACTATATATTCAGCTTGAGATCTATTCTGACAGAAGGTCAGTGACCAGAGCAGCTGAATGATATTTTGATAGGGATTGCTTTAGAAATGTAAGTTGCTCTGGGCAAGTTAGACATTCTGATGATGTTTTTTCTTCCAATCCATTAGCATGGAATGTTTTTCCATCTCTTTGGGTCTTCCTCAATTTCTGTCATAAGAGTTCTGTAGCTGGATAGACCCTTTAAGTATTATATACTGCCCCTCTACATCTCTTAGTGCAGTCTTTGGTTTAAAATCTAATTTGTCTATAATGGGGAGTTCTATCCCAGCTTTCTTTTGAGTTCCGTTGGCATAGTAAATGGTTCTCCATCCACTTACCTTCAATCTGAAGGTATCTTTAGGTTCAAAATGAATCTCTTATAGACAGCATATGGATAGGTCTTGCTTTTTTATCCAATATGAAACCCTGTGTCTCTTGATGGGAGTATTCAGCCTGTTCATGTTGAGAATAACTTTTGAAAGATATGAATTTAGTGCCATTGTATTGCCCATAAGGACCCAGTCTCTGTAGGTTTTCTGTTTCTTTCTGGTCTATGGGACTCCTGGGGTTTCTCTTCATTTACAGAATCCCCTTTAATATTTCTTGCAGGGCTGGCTTGGTGGTCACATATTCTTTGAATTTCTGCCCGTCCTGAAAACTCTTTATCTGTTCTGAATGACAGTGTTGCTGGGTAAAATATTCTTGGCTGCATGTTCTTTTCATTTAGCACCCTGAATATGTCTTACTAGCCCTCTCTGGCTTGCCAGGTCTCTGTGGAGAGGTCTGATGTTATTCTGTTGTTCCTCCCTCTGTATGTAAGAATCTCTTCCCCCTACCTGCTCTCAGGATAGCTTCCTTGGCTCTAAGATTTGCAAGCTTCACTACTACATGTCAGGGTGTTGATCTATTTTCATTGATTTTGGGAGGGGTCTTCTCTGCTTCTTGGACTCGAATGCTTGTTTCCTTCCCCAGATTAGGGAAGTTCTCAGCTATGATTTGGTCAAATATATCTTCTAGTCCTCTCTCTCTATCCACCCCCTTGGGGATCCCAGTAATTCTGGCATTGGACTCTTTCATGGCATCGTTGATCTCTCTAAGTCTAATCTCATGTGACACTAGCTGCCTATCTGTATCTTCTTCAGTTTCCTTCCTTCCTGTCAGCTTATCATCTAGGTCACTAATTCGTTCTTCTGCCTCATTTACCCTGGCTTTTAGAGTATCCAGTTTAGACTGCATTTCATTCATAGCATTTTTAAAGTTGGCCTGATTAGATCTCATTTCTGTCCTTAGAGATTGTATAAGGTCACTAATGCATTTTTCAAAACCTATTTACTTCATGATTGTTATCCTGAAGTCTGTCTCTGACATCTTGCTTATATCCAAATCTATTAGTTCTGTGGCAGAAAACAATGTCTATGGTTCTTTTTTTTTGTTGGGATTTCCTCTTCCTACTCATTCTGTCAATGGATGGTTGAATGAATGGACTGAGTTGAAAATATCAACCACAGTCCAAGCAAGATGCACCTTAGCAAAATCCAGATTGGTCAGATGCCACCATCAAAAAAGCAAAGCCAGGGGCGCCTGGGTGGCTCAGTTGGTTGGGCGACTGCCTTCAGCTCAGGTCATGATCCTGGAGCCCGGGGATCGAGTCCCACGTCGGGCTCCCTGCTCAGTGGGGAGTCTGCCTCTCCCTCTCTCGTGCTCTCTCTCTCATTCTCTCTCTCAAATAAATTTAAAAAAAAAGCAAAGCCAACATGAAACAGAAGAATAAAATTATAAAGTTGAAAAAAATTGAAATTAATTATATACAAAAAGTATAGAATAGAAAATAAAAAAAGGGGGTGAGGTAAAGAGGGGCTATAATCTCTCACTGTGGACACAACAGCTTGTTTCAATTTTTCCTGGGTGAATTTTGGTCTGTGTGTTATAGGTCTCTACATCCCCAAATTACTAGGAATGTAAAACTTTTGTATATAAAAAGGTAAAACTGAGTAGAGTATAAAAGTTACTAAAATAAAGCATATATCTATAAAAAAAATTTAGGTGTGTAAAAATACAAGTTAAAAAGCGCCTCTGAAAAAATGACTTGGTATAATAGACAACTTGTGAAGCTCAACTGCTTTTCTGCTTGCAATCCACATATATATTCTTACATCTCAAGTTGATTTCGTGGGTATTCAAAATGCACTGATAGATATCCAGCTGCATTCAGGGGACCTGTTTAAATGGGGTCCCCTACAGCTCTGCCATCTTGCCTCAATCTGCCTGTTCCTGATTAATTTTTAGTCTGTATGTTAGAAGACAGTATATCCAAAATTGTAAAGAAATCAGAATTTATATCTTCCTTGGGATATTCAACAGCCCACACCTTCTGTCCTTTTCAGGGTGGTCAGGCAGAGAGTAGTCTTCCAACTGGCCTGTCTCGTGGTTTATGGTGACTGGAGCTTAGAGTCCCTTCTGGGCTCACTGACCACAACCAGTCTCCCCAATCTAATGCTTGGGGACTCTATTGGTTCAGGCTCCCCTGCTCTTTCTGAGTCTCTTGGGAACTGAGACCACAATGATCCACCTAGAATTCTGCCCCATTCATTCCTTGTGCCCTTTCCGGGAAGGGATGTATCTCACTGGAGCAGATTTCTAAGGGGCCCAATTTTTTGCTCAGATGTTATATCACTTTTCAGTGGCCGGTTTATGATGGCTCCTTCCTCCCTCTGTTTATCTTCTGATATTTCTCTGGAAGATTCAATGTTCTGCAATTCCTACCTTGCGAAAGTATCGTTTTTCTTTTTGTACAGATCCAGATAAATCTTCTTACATCTGAGGTTGAATTTGTATGTGTTCAGAAGGTTTGATAGATATCCAGCCAAATATGAGACCAGCTGAAAGAAGGTCCCCTATGCTGTCACTGACTTGCCCCCTTCTCCCAAAACAAGGACTTTGAATGATACACTGGACCAGGTTGATTTCTTCTTTTTTTTAGATTTAAAAATTTTTTATTTAAATTCAATTTAATTTACACATAGTGTATTATTAGTTTCAGAGATAGAATTTAGTGATTCATCAGTTGCATATAACACCAGTGCTCATTCCATCAAGTGCCCTCCTTAATGCCCATCACCCAGTTACCCCATCCCCCTTTCCTCCACTCCTACCACCCCCAGTTTGAACACACAATTTTGAGTATAATTTCTGGGTTTGGATAGGGGAATGTTCCTCCTAGAATCCTAGCTTTATTTTTTTTCTCACAACATTATCTCCTGTAATTCCTTTTTTTTAATTGTGTTCAGTCAGCCACCACACAGTACATCCTTAATTTTTAATGTAGTGTTCAGTGATTCATTAGTTGCATAAAACACCCAGTGCTCATCACAAGAGGTGCCCTCCTTAATACATGTCACCTGGCTACCCCATTTCCCCAACGCCTCCCCTCTGAAACCCTGTTTGTTTCCTGGAGAAACAGATTGATTTCTGATATTATTTATTTGGGTTCCTATTTTCTTTTTGATAAATCTAGGCAGAGGTTTCTCAATTTTATTTATTTTTTTCAAAGAACCAGACTTTGTTTTTTTTTAAAATCTGATCTGTTGTTGTTTAGTTTTTATATCATTTATTTTGGCTATAATCTTTACTATTTCCTTCCTTCCACTGTATTTAGGCTTCAGTTGTACTTTCTCTAGCTCCTTCAGGTGTAAGATTAGGTGGTTTATTTCAGATTGTTCTTGCTTCTTGAGGCCTTCCTATATGCTGTATATTTCTTTCCTAGGACCATCTTTGCTGCAGAGAAATTAAGTGAAGGTGATAAAGGATTTATACTCTTGTGTGAGTGTGTGTGTGTGTGATCTTCAGACTCCACATTTACACCACATCTAGAGGGAGTTCCACTGCTTTCCCATGTTGTCACCAACATTGATTCCGTGAACATGGTTTAAGACATTGACCCTCACCAAGACCATTTCTTCTCTTGCTTTGGACTGTTAATGCATCTGTAGCCTCATGTCCAGCATGAACTTTAAGCTGCTACTAGCAAGTTTGCACATTGAGCTGGGGGGTCCTGTGATGCACAGTGATTACAGCTAGGACTCCTGTAAAGGTTCAGTTGATGATCATCAGGTTATTTGTATTTAATTTTTATTTAGGGACTGGAATAAACAATGTGAGTGACTTTGTATTTTGTGCATTTTAGTATAGTTGTTTTCCCATTAGAACAAATTTTCTAGTCAGAGAGTGAAGAGGTAAGCACAGAATCATGTGTGCGGAGAGGATCCCTGAGGGAAACTGCTCTGTGGAGAGGAATCCCCAAACCCTGACAAGAAATCTTCCCATAACCTCCATCTGCACCTGCTCATGGGGTTTAAAGACAGAATTGGTGAGTAGTGTACACCCCCTGGTGGTCCTGATCCTCTTCTACAGTGAGGTTTGTGTCTGGGCTCACACTGACTTCCCCTCACTGTGTCTGTTGCACAGTAATACACGGCCGTGTCCTCGGCTCTCAGGCTGTTCATCTGCAGATACAGCGTGTTCTTGCCGTTGTCTCTGGAGATGGTGAATCGGCCCTTCACAGAGTCTGCGTAGCTTGTGCTACTTCCATCATAGCTAATAGCTGCGACCCACCGCAGCCCCTTCCCTGGAGCCTGGCGGACCCAGCCCATGCCATAGTCACTGAAGGTGAATCCAGAGGCTGCACAGGAGAGTCTCAGGGACCCGCCAGGCTTCACCAGGTCTCCCCCAGACTCCACCAGCTGCACCTCAGACTGGACTCCTGTAGACACAAAACATCCTGGTCAGGAAATTGTCACACAACCACTCTTTCTCTCACATATTCTTGTACACTCAGTGTCTCTTGTTCACCATAAATTACCTTTTAAAAGAGCAACAAGGAAAAC